AGAGAGAGAGAGAGAGAGAGAGAGAGAGAGAGAGAGAGAGAGAGAGATAACTTGGGACTCTTTCTAGCACACAGGTGGCCTTGTGGTGTGTGTTGAATTGAGCACCTCACCTCACCGGGACCCCGGAAGCACGTGCTGTATTAGGACTTCTCACTCACCACCAGCCCCCAGAATGTCCCTTGTGTTATCTTGGGAAATCCCAGCATCTCCAGGGGTCAAAGGTTTTCCATCCCCCTGGCTACTGAGACCTGCTGGTGGATATGCCCCCGGGTTTCTTGCAGGACACGATCAGAATGGAAGTGAGGTCGGATCCTCTTCTTTTAAACACCCGTCCGTGGCCTCCTACGGTCTTCAGGACAGACTGAATCTGTCGTGATGGTCTTAGTCTCTGTCTTGAGGCCTTTCCATCTGTGCACCTCTCTCTCTCTCTCTCTCTCTCTCTCTCTCTCTCCCCCCTCCTCCTCCTCTCCCCGCATCTCTTCCTCTTCTTCTAGAGCTCAGCTCATTTGCAGGTATCCAGACCCCACCTTGTGCTGGGAGTGGTTTTATGCTGGGTTCTGTCCCCAGCCACCTCCCCACAGAGCGCTGGCTCCATACGGGTGGACGGAGTTTCTTTGTCTCCCCCCTGACCCCAAGCACCTGCTGCGGTGGGCACCTCTAAACATCTGTGGGCTCAATTCAGCACTGTGACGGGGCAGACGGCTCAGAAAACCTACCAAGTCCATTTTGCCCCAGTTGGAGAGTGTTTATTTAGCCGGGCAGCTGGGAACTGCTCCCCGCAGGACCCAGAACTGTCTGTGCAAGTTATAGCCCCGAGCCTGAGCACTTCAAGGTCTTTAAAGGCAGAAACCACATCCAGGTCGATGTAGCTCCAAGCAGGGGGACAGAAGCTGAACCGAGCAGTTAGCGAGACAATGCGACGGGTACATTGGTATTTCCCACGGGACTTTCCAGGTTGGCTTAGCGGCAAGCAAGCAGAGGGGAAGTGGGTCAAAATGATCCTAGCTGAGTGCAAGCTGGAGAATGGTTACCAACGTCGAGGCAATCCATCTCTGCCCGGGTACACTGCCCCAGAAGAATGGGAGCCAAAGAGAACAATTTCATATCGTGTAAGAATTGCCCTTTGGTGCTGCCCAACATGCTACGCTAAGCAATTACTGATAGGTACGGAGGCAGGTTTCCCTATGGGAGAAGCCTGTGTCATATGACGGGGAGTCTCAGGGTAGAGTGGAGTGTGTTGGGTCATTGCCCACATAGCCGGGCCCATAACAGTACCCTTCTGTT